AGGTCAGCATTAAATCAGGGTTTGGAGGTATGAATCACGCCCTTATGGTTCTAACAGGCGATCATAGAGGGGGAGGGGAGGATTACAGTTGGGGTGAATATAGTGTTAATCTTTATATCACACCTTCCTTCCTTCCTCCCTCCCTACACATAAAAATCCTAACCTATCCCCATGACCAATCCTCTCTGTCATAGAAAGCTGACAGCGACAGAGCCACCATGAAGCCAAGTCGAGTCTGCATGACCAAACTGCTGTCAGAAAACGCCGACAGCTGACAGCGGTATGCATGACGACTCTGGGGGGTGGAACTGTCTCAATGTCCCGGGCAACTTGTGAATCTTGGCTGACACATTTTGTTGGGTGGCGGTACATAGTCGTGACAGATCGCCGGTAGTTTGGGAGACTTGCTGGTTTGTGAGGAGAGGAGAGGAGAGGAGAGGAGAGGAGGAGAGAGGAGAGGAGAGGAGAGGAGAGGAGAGGAGAGGATGGATAAGGAATGTGGAATAAAGGATATATAGATTGGATATTATTTTTCTGTCAGTTTGTGTGTGTGTGTGGGAGGGGGTCTATATATGACCTATCAATTGGTTTGTTTTCCCTCGTTCTTTATTTTTTCATATGTATCTGTCTCTCACTCGGTATAAAGAGAGAGAGAGAGAGAGAGAGAGAGAGAGAGAGAGAGAGAGAGAGTACTCCCCTCCCCAGCATCCAGCTTCACACTGCCTCTCCCCAGCATCGATCCCTGCATTTTTATCCCCCCGTGTCACCGTGACGTCATCCACCCACCTCTCCCTCCCTCCTCCTCCTGGATGCTGCACACACCCTCCCTCCACCTACCTTCCCTCTAACCTAGCCTCACTTTACCTAACTTCCAGTCTCTTAGATGCTGCACAGGAGAGAGAGAGAGAGAGAGAGAGAGAGAGAGAGAGAGAGAGAGAGAGAGAGAGAGAGAGAGAGAGATTTATTATTCTCCGTACGTTGTGGACCTTTTGAGTGTTAGTTAGTCTGTCTGTACGAGCCGTCACCTCAAGCAGCACCCATTAAATTCATGCTCAAAATGTCCCAATAAATGTATCCTGAACATGTTTATATGTTACTGATAAATATAAACGGCATCAAGTATAGGGAATGAAACTTAATAATAATCGGGACATCTAAGACGTTAAGTTTCAACGCTACATCACAACAACGCCTTAAGACAACGCAACACAACGCAACACAACGCAACACAACGCAACACAACGCAACACAACGCAACACAGCTGAATGGTCAAGGATTTATTTTCAACGCACCAGGGACAATACAACGTACCCGTGATGTAAGCGACTTCATTTCAACGCTACACGTCACAACAACAGCATCTTGGTTATCAACGTAAATTCAACGCGAAATCAACGCCAGACAGAGCCACCCACCTACCTGTACCCCGGGGTGACATAACTACCACTCACTAACTCGTAGAACAAAGGTAAATTACAGGTAAAATAAGATCATAATAATTCCCACCAAAAATAGAAAATAATAATAATAATTAAAATAACAAAACCATAAAAATAAAAGTTGACGAAATAAAAAATAGAAAAATAATTAAAAAAGATTACATAAGGTAATTTTGTATTTAATATTATCCATTTAATTATGTATAACTGTGTGACTTAAGAGTTGATATACATATACATTGATTACTGTATAAGGTGATTCATTCCTGTATTACGTAATTAGTTAATACGTTTTCAGTTATTTACTGTGTTTCAATAACGTGTGATTTATCTACTGGTTATTGACTTTCTTAATGACTAACATTGATTCAAGACGTGAGTTAAGTTACGGCCTTCGGTAATAACAGTGAATGATTAAATGAGTAAATAATTTGAGGTATATCTATGATAATTATACGAAAAATACCTTGAATTATTAGTGATAATCTGACAATAAAAAAAATCTTATCTTACATTATTTAAATTGAAATTCATATATAAATGACTTGGGGAATATCAATAATCATATAAATAACAACTTGAATTATTACTGATAAACTGATGATAAAAGATATTTCCAACCCACATAGACGAAAAAAAAATATCAACAGACAAACTTACAAACTACAAACCATTAAAATACATTGATACTGATGTTTATTAACCCGACATATTGGTTTTAAAATCAATCAACCACTTTCTTGAACAATCTTGAACAAACTGAAGATAGTGAACAAAATCTAACTTGTTCAATCCACCATATTAGGTGTTCAGGTGATCCCAAACTTTGAGAAATTATCATAAAAGTGTTGAATGGAACATCTTCATACAGTGTAGGAAATACTTTACTTCTCGTACACCTTAAACACTCACCTGTAATGAAAAATGTGTTGCCTCATTATACGGAAGGTGTGGCAGGTGTGTTGATGGGTATGAGGCTTTTGTGTTGAAAATAGGTATTGTGATGTGTTGTTGTTGTTGTTGTATGTGTTTGTGTAGGGGTATTTCTTGTGTAGTGTATTTGTTGTGGTAGTTCCTATCCGACTTGTCTTTATATTAACATTACGACCACAACGCCATCAGTATAACAATACCCAATACCACCACCACCACTATAGGACTATCATACCACCCCCACCACCATCCACAACCCAACTACCACCACCCACACCCCCACTACCACCACCCACATCCCCACTACAACCACCCACACCCCCACTACCTCCACCCTGACCCCTACCATCCCCAGCAATACACCACCACCATAATACAACCCCACCACTACCCTCACTATACCACTCTCACTACCCTCACCATACCACCCTCACTATACCACTCTCACCACCCCCACCATACCATGATAACCGCAGAAAATTGGCAATTGACAGAAGCCTCACATAATGGCAGGGCAGCGAGCTATACCCAGGCTACAAATTCTCCATGATTCTTACGTGGGATTTTTACCGTAACTCTGGACATACGATAACACTCAATTATGATACAGACTCAGAGAACTTACGGGAGATAAATTACTGACACGAGGAGATGATTACCTGTGAGGTGATTAACATTTACACGGAGTTAATTATTCTGTGTATACCTGTGGAGTTGTTGTTGTGTGTAAATGTAAAGGTAATGCTGTGATTATTACTATTATTATGGTTATTATTATTATTATTATTATTAGTAGTAGTAGTAGTAGTAGTAGTAGTAGTAGTAGTAGTAGTAATAGTAGCGATAAGCGAAGTTAGTTTGGTTAAGTTAAGCTAGATTAGGTTAGGTTAGGATAGGTGAGGTAAGGTTAGGTTTAATTTAGTTATCCTCGTGTCTTTATTATTTCAGAACTATACAGCTCGACAGACAACTGTTATGTTAGCCAAGATATTTTACAAGATAAAGTACAGGTCAAGTTATCCTCAAAATAATTGCTTGAGAAACTTATTTATTGCATACATGAAAAATTGTTTGTACCAGAACAAGTGCTTGAAATATTGTTTGTACCAATATATGTGTATGGAAATTTGTTTATCCCTCCAAAAAAGGCTTGAAAAATTGTTAGTTCTATATCTGTTGGTTGATAAACAAAACAATACTCCAAAAATTACTTGTTTTAATTGCATGACATCTACTTGCCCCCCCCCACCAAACAATACTGTTTTAAATGGCTTGTTTTCAATAGCTTAAGAATCTGCGTGTTCCAGATATGTTGCCTGGAAAAAATAATTGCTTGTACCAAAACAGGTCCATTAAACTGCTTAATTTCACCTGCCTGGAACCTACTTGTACCAAAACAGTTCAATGTGAAGCTGCCTTTGTCTAAAGTAATGGCGAAGGAGTGGATAGGTGGGAGGATCAGGAGATCATCTGGTTAAGGCCTCCATTTCTGAGATCATCTGGTTAAAGCATCCAGTACTGTGGGCACCATCTGGTTAAAGCCTCCAGTACTATGGGCATCATCTGGTTAAAGCCTCCAGTACTGTGGGCATTATCTGATTAAAGCCTCCAGTACTGAGATCATCTGGTTAAAGCCTCCAGTACTGTGGGCATCATCTGGTTAAAGCCTCCAGTACTGAAATCATCTGGTTAAAGCCACCAGTACTGTGGGCATCATCTGGTTAAAGCCTCCAGTACTGTGGGCATCATCTGGTTAAAGCCTCCAGTACTGTGGGTATCATCTGGTTAAAGCCTCCAGTACTGTGGGCATCATCTGGTTAAAGCCTCCAGTACTGTGGGCATCATCTGGTTAAAGCCTCCAGTGCTACCATCACGGGCTGGGCTGGAGGGATATGCACCGTCCGTCCCCAGAAATTTATGTCTTTATTTTTCACTGCCAAATAAGATCTTGTCGACTTTGTGAAGAATTTATGCGAGAGTTACAAGACGATAATGTAAGCTTTTAGTCCTAATTGTTATTTACTTACTTTTATTGTGAATTCAAATGGGTATAATATTGAGGTTAAGAGCCGAGCCCAGAGCCAAGGATATGATTAGTGGCTAATACCTGGTCATAGAGCCACCACTAAATTCTGAATCCTAAGAGTGAAGGCTACGGGATCCCCTCCTCAAACACGGGTTTGCCCCCAATGAATAAGGGCGGGTGATGGTGTTGGACAAGCATGAGGCAGCCCGCCCATAATTGCCCTTCCCCCCAAGACTCTCGACCACCCACGGCGCCGGCCTAGCCCAAGCCCGACCGCCCAGTAATGATTTTATTACTCCCCGGGTCTAATGATAACATTGGGAGAAGCTGTGGTAACATTTACTTTGACCAAGTCCCTCAGCTTCTTCAGCGGCTGGAAAATCACATGAAAACCGACGAGTCAGCCAATCACCTACGGGATAAAAGCGGTTACTCCGCCTACCTTCAGACTTTCCTCCGACTGGCTATTGATTCGTAGGCTTGGGCCAATGGGAACACAGCGGCGCGTCTGATGTGCGCGAGGGCGGGGCGTCAGCCGAGATTATCATAGTGCACCACGGATTTCCAAGAAGCCGTGGCGGGGTGTCAGTGAAACTCGATATCTGAGCGGCGAGCGTCATGGTCTCCAGCGGCACCAGCGGTAACGTGGGAATCACTGGCCGGCCCGTGCAGTAGCTGGCGGGTCTCGCGCCCTGCTGACGTGCCACACCGCGTCTCACGTGCTCACTTGTGCGCTCGTGTTTACGTGCCTCGCCGCGGGGCCTAAATGGATTGTTGCTAAGTGTTGGTTGTCTGAATGTTTGAGTGACACATGAAACATAATATTGTAAGCCTCAAATAAACTTGCCACGATGCCGCGCCCGTGTCGTGAGAGTTACGGGGACCAGAAGCCGCCGTACTCGTACATATCCCTGACCGCCATGGCCATCTGGAACAGCCCGGAAAAGATGTGTACACTGGCGGAGATCTACAAGTTTATTATGGACAACTTCCCCTACTACCGCAAGAACACTCAGCGGTGGCAGAACTCGCTGCGACACAACCTCTCCTTCAACGACTGCTTCATCAAGATCCCCCGTCGCCCCGACAGGCCCGGCAAGGGCGCCTACTGGACCTTGCACCCGTCCGCCATGAACATGTTCGAGAACGGCAGCTTCCTCCGCCGCAGGAAGCGCTTCAAGATCCCCAAGCCAGAGAAGGTAGCGCTGGAGGCGGGCCTGGCGCACCTGCACGGCCGGCCGATGGACCCCCTGGAGGCGCCGCGCCTGACGGAGGGTTCCTCCTGCCCGGAGATACAACCACACAACAAACAGCCCTTTACCATAGAAAACCTGGCTGCCTCAGACGCCAAGCCACCCATGCTGACGGCGCCCACACCCATGTACCCACCAGGCACCCACATGGCCCACCTCAACGCCCACTTAGCAACACTCAGAGGCGCGGGAGCTTACTCAGGGAGAAACCTGGGTTTCGGAGTCCTCAATCCTCACAGTCTCTTTCCCCACCAGGAGGCCAACCTTGCTGCCAGCCTCACGCCCACCTCCCTGGGCACATCCTTCAGTTCTTCTCTCAACAGTACCTTCAACTGCTCCCTCAGTACCTCCCTCAACAACTCGCTGAGCGGACACTTGGCGGCCACTCTGGGCGGGTCCTTGGGTGGCTCTCTCGGGAGTTCCCTCGGCACCCTTGGCGGCTCCCTCGGGGGTCTAGGGGGCCTCGGTGGCCTAGGTCACGGTGTCGGCCATTTAGGGAGTTCAATGCCATCCAGTTTGGCCACGTCGCTGCAGCAGCTGTATAGTGCAGCGTTGGCCCAAATGCCCGGCCTGCACACCCATGCGGGCGGCCTACCATCCCCTCTGGCCCGCCTGCCCCCGCCAACTCTGTCCCTGCCTGTTCCAGTGCGGCCCACGCCAATGCCACCTGCGCTGTTCCATGCCCTGCCGCCCACCAACCCGCCCGCGCTCCACACTCTGCCGTCTCTCTCACTCTTCCACCAAAAGTTGCGTTGTGCCGCTCCTCTGCTGCCGGAGGACAACGTGCCGGAGGACAACGCCATGGACTCTCCCTGTGAGGACAAACACACCTCACCTGCCAGCGCCGACGCCCCCACCACCCTCCGGCCACCCACGGCGACCACCCCACCCCCGGGCGGCACCGCAGCCTCACCCCAGGGCAGAGTCATATGACAGTAGTGACAGCGGGCCGGTACACCCGACCCGACGTCATGCTGCCAAAATGTATTTATGTAGGGGGAGAGAAAATGAGTTATTATAGCCAGTGATATTTTAGGGCGACGACCAACAGTTTTGTAGGTAGATGTGCCAGCGACGGTGTGAGTGAGTGCCACAAACAGTGCTGATACAAGACTGGTCGGTGCCACACACAAGTCCCAACGGTGCCAGCCAAGGTACCCCCGGACAGTGCCACGGAAGGGGTTAAGTGTAGTGTGTCATGGCCAACCAGCGACACCTTAACGATATACGAGTAACGATAATATTTAGTGCCAGTGATCTGTGACTTAGGAGAGACTGACGCTGTGGTGCTCCTGAGGGCGCCTCTGCCTCCCCCAGCTGTGGGAGAGGCCGAGAGTGCCGCCTCTTAAGTACGGGTGTCCTACAGTGTCATCAGGAGCTCCCTGCGTTGAATGGACAACTAAGGATCTCCGGACCCGCCGCCCACCACCGTCCTCCGCACCAGGATCAAGCAGGAAGTATCCGACGGCGGCGCTGTAGGAACCTGGGGCAGCGGTCGAGGGGCATCCTGGATCTGTTCTACTCCCTGGGGTCCCTCGGGCAGCCCTCCCCCACCCCAGAGCCGCACGCGAGCTGTGGCCACGTGCCCGGGCGGCAGGTGGCTGTCAGGCCGCGCGACCCTTCACACTCTCACGTGCTAATAAACATAGAGTAGTCACACCTGTATCATTCACTCCTCCGCCCGCCTCCCTCACTCACCATCTCCGCTACACTAACTATCAAACTACCATTTACTCACAACAAAATGATAAACATCTATATGAGGATTAATAAGAGTTCTAAATACTCTCATATTACTCAACATCTGGGAATCTTTTTGTCACAAGACTTGGTATCAAACAATATATGCCGACATTATAAACCACACGAGACAGAGGCTGTTTAAATCCTGGTCACAAAAGGAGGTCACCACAAGACTGCTGACAGGTACTGAGGTTGACACACACAGAGTCATCCACCACAACAGACCTGACTCACTATATTTATCTGACACAGAGTCACTTGTGTACTTTGTGTGTGTCTGTGGTAAGTGTTCTACTGACAGCTGAGGATGTTAAGAAAGTGTTAACTGAATCAACATGACTATGATATAAGAAAAAGATAAATGGATAAAATTATTGCCTTATATAAAAACCAATTAATTCTTGTACACAAAGATAAAGAAAATATTGGAAAAAATATAACTATCACGAAGTTATAAATTATATCTTACTATATCTGTTACTCTTAAGACACATAATGAAACACGAGTGAACTAAGATCCTTCGGCCTCCCTCACCACCAGCCACACACACAACCACGACCACCAACTTAGACAAAATTTTCACAACTGCTCCAACAAAACAAAATCCCGATATAAAGAAAATATAATACAAAATCTTCCATATACGTGAACAAGTTTATTTTGTCTATATCTTCAACATATATCAACCATAATGTACTAAATAATTTTGAACAAATTACTAAGGTTAACAAGAATCATTTCCAGGTATTTATCAAGAAAAAATATTAATACTTGGATTAAAATCAAGAAAATATACAACAGGTGAATCACAACTAATTAGCATAATACTGTTTACCTGTTCTCATTACGTCAACACAACAGTAAGATCTTCCTTGATGGAAAAAAATAATGAGATTGAATTCTAATTACGTTGACATATTCATCATAAATAATACAGGTACAGATATAATTATACGTACAGGTACAGATGCAATTAACATACAAGTTTGGTTATACTTACAGGAAAAGGTGTAATTACAGGTGGAAATATAGATACAGGTATTGAAAAAGGCACAGGTGGAGTTAAAGGTAAAATACAGATATAATTACAGGTAAAACTACTAATACAGGTATAATTACAGATAAAAATAAAGATATGTTAGATATACAGTTAAATTACAGGTACATAGAGAGACACAAGTGAATATTAAAGATACAGGTAAAAAGTATAGCTGACTTGGTGATATTGTTTAGTGACTGGCTTAGTGAAGGACTTGGCTTATGGACTGACTTAGTGAAGCAAATGTCTTGGTGATTGACTTGGTGATTGGCTTAATGACTGACTTGGTGAATTAGTTGATTTGGTGATTGGCTTGGTGTATAAAACTGCTTTGATAACTTGCTTGGTGAGATAATTGTCTTGGTGATTGACTTTGTGACTAACACCTTCACCACAGGAACTCCACTTTTAATATTTTATTTGGTTAACGTCCAGACGATTTTCTTCAACTCAGAGGCGACACCGTACACAAGGGGTTAGGTTAGGTTAGTGTTAGGTTAGATTAGGTTATGTTACGTTAGATTAGGTTAGTATAGGTTATATTCATTAGTTCAGGTTAGTATTAGGTTAGGTTATATTTTGGTTGGATAGTGTTTGTTATATTCATTAGTTCAGGTTAGTATTAGGTTAAGTTAGCGAAGAATAATTAAATTTTGTTACTAGTAGAAAACGTCTGTTAGGTTACAGTAGTAAACTTAATGTTAGGGTTAGGTAAGGATTAGTTAGGTTAAATTACTGTTACTTAGATTAGGTTATACGTTTAAGTTAGGTTAGTCTGATTAAATAAGTTAGGTTAGGTAAATTCAGAGTTAAGAAATAGTGAAATAATTGTTAGGTTAGTGTTAGGTCAGGGTTAGGTAAGGTCAAGTTAGGTGAGGTGAGGTGAGGTCAATTCAGTGTTAGGTCAGGGTTAGAAAGGGTTAGTTTGGCTGTTTTATTAAGCGTTTATCTCCAAAACAATTTATTCGTACAACCCACAACACCACCTGGGCGACCACACCAGGTAGATGATGAGTAATAAGGGGGTGTGTGTGTGTGTGTGTGTGTGTGTGTGTGCACTTAAAGTAATACGTACATAACTAACAGCATATTAAAGACCTGAATTTGAAGCCAATGAACTATCATGTCTATCTGTCTATCTATCTGCCTGTCTGTCTGTCTGTCTGTCTGTCCTTCCTTTCCCTCCACGTCAAAGTGAGGGGCATCTCTCCCCTCCACGCCCACTACGGAGGGAGGGGAAGGGACAGGGGAGGGGAGGGGAGGAGCCGAGCTGTAGTCCTCCCCTTCCAGCACAAACAAACAGCCTGACAGCCGACAGTGGAAGCCGACAGCAGCAAGGATACCTGTCCCATTTTTCCACCTCTCACACGGCAGGTATTGAGGTCCTGTCCTACTGTGCGACGGCTGGCGGACAGGAAGGCGGCGTGGGTGCGACAGGCAGACAGGAAGGGTAGATTTCTGACAAGACTGAGATAGTGTGCGATAGGTGGGCGTTGTGGGAGGAAGACACAGAGAGATAAATGCAGTGGATCAGAGAGACACAGACAGAAAGAGACAGAAATAGAGCAGAAGACAAAACTGCTGATGTGATGAGACAGAGAGAGAGTGCTACTGTCTGTCAGTGTGTTTGTCTATATGTCTGTCTTTCACACCCCTCTCGTTCTATACCAAAACAGTACAACTGAAGTAACTCTTTCCTTCCCAATGTAACACAAGAATTCTCCTACTTTACAGAGACAATGCAGCGATACTCTTACAAGAAATACACAACGTATATGAATTAGCTATTAAACTGTATCTACTGTACTACTTGTATATAGTGAAGTTACTGTTACAACTACTACTACAACTACTACAACTGCTACTACTACAACTGCTACTACTACAACTGCTACTACTACAACTGCTACTAAAACCTAATCAATACACATCATAATATCAATAATAATTACACAAAAATATTAGTAGTAAAAGAAAAAAAAATAATAATGATAACAAATAAAAAATGGCGAAAATATTGGTAATAATAATAATAATAATAATAATAATAATAATAATAATAATAATAATAATAATAATGATAATAATAATAATAATAATAATAATAATAACACGCCTTCCATGTATACACAACCAAACAAATTGCTGAACAAAATCATTAAAACAATAAAGATACTTAATCAGTCTCCACGTAAGGTTAATATTACAGAGACACAAACTCTATGTATAATTAATTTAACGCCGTCACGAGGTATTTTCCTGCTGAAAGTATAATTAATTTTACAGATCTAATTTGTGTTAACTCTAAGAACAATTAATATTATAGACGCAGAATATATATAATTTTACAATATATTTTTGACACTTGTATAATTAATTATTATTATACACAAGTTATTTTTTTTTATTTAATAGGATGAAAATATATTAATGATCATTGTCATTATATGTGTCCCTGTTTTGCTGTTGTTAATGTTTTTGTTGTTATTGTTATTTATTATTGTTTGTTATTATATATTATGACGTTGTTGGTGTTATTTGTTGTTATTTAATACGGTTAGTTGTTATTGGTGGTAATCTTGTAGTTATTGTTGTTAAAGTATAAAGGAGTTTCGTTGACTAATATCTTTCACTACCATTCACTGGCTAAGGTCTTGAAGTATATACCTTTAACCTTAGAAAAAAAATAGAAACATTCACACGTTAATAAAGATGACATTAACCCCGAGTAACGTCACGCTCAGGTATTTATTCCGGTTAAAGTCAGGGATTTTATTCAGCCATTCAATGAGTTTATGAATAAAAGTAATAAAATATACTGTTTATTAATCAGGTTTATTGTTTTAAGTTAATTAAGGGGATATTTATGTTAAGAGATTAATTGTGCGAATTTTTTTATATTATTGATGTGGCGGTGGAGGTGTCTGTCTGTCTGTCTGTCTGTCTGTCTGTCTGTCTGCCTGTCTCTTGATCTTCTTAAATTATTATCGGGATGTGAAATATACATTCTCTTTCTCTCTCTTCCTATTATTTTATTATCGGGAATGTGAATATTCAAGTCTTCCTTTTCTCTTTTCTCTCTCACTCTCATTTTCACATTAAAGGAAACGTGAATAAAATCAATTATGTGTCTCACTCTTCCTCTCATTACCGAGAGAGAGAGAGAGAGGGGGGGGGGGGGGGTATTAAAACCCTTATATTCATAGATGATTGGAACCCTTAAAATCATCCTTAACTATTGATTGGAATATTTATATTTCTCTTACTGATGATGTAAACATTAACCACACCCGTTAAGCTACCATTAGTAACTTCAAGCTCCATTACTCGACATTCAGAACCCCTAAACCCTACTTAAAACGATCAAAACCTCTAAAAAAAACCTCCAAACCCAATCAAAACACCTCGAAAAGAGATTAGAACCTAAATAAAATCACATAAAAAAATGGAATCTTAAAACTCCATCAAGAACAAGATTTGAACCTTTAAACCCCATCTGAAAGAGATCAGAACCACCCAAACTACATTAAACGTCAACCTGAACCTCCAAACCCCACTTAAAAGCAATTGGAACCTTCAAACTCCACTCCTCGGCGATTGAACTCTATACTCATCCCTAACTGGCCAATCGACCCCCATTCCATATAACCATTACCTCACTAACGACCCTTAAGAGCAATAGAGCGTCGTCTATTATAATAAAGGGCCGCCCTCTGATTATCGACACACCCTGACAGTATGGCTCCTCACCTGTAAATATCGCCTTCCTTACCTTGCTCCGTGATTACAGGTGTGACCCTTAACAGGTTACCTATTTGTTAAGTGTTAAATGATCTCCGGTGTGTGTGTGTGTGTGTGTGTGTGTGTAAAATCTTATAAACAAT